ATATATATAATCCTGGACCAGCCCATATCCTGAGCAGATGCTGTGGCGGTCATGGAGAAGTGGTGAGCATGAGACTTATTCCTGTAAGACCCCAGTGACAGACGAGTCTGCGTATTGACCCACTTACACCTGTAGTTCTCCATGATGGACGTCCAGCGTTCCCCAGCCTCCGGTGCCTAAACTGCAGCTCTGCACAAGAAGTTTTGCCAGAGGAGAAATGGCTGTGCCCAACTGAAAATTGTTTCTCTCAAAGTTTTTTCCCTTCACTTTTGTCAATTGGTGAAGTATGTTCCTCGCTACAGGCTTGCTTGGTTTAGGACTTGTAGAAGCTGCGCATTGATGGATTTGCTCTTCAGTGTTTGGACTTTCAGCAGTGAAAATTAAACCACACTGAACTGAACTAAACTGGACTACAACTCTGAAAACTGGACAAACACTGTTTCAATTTACTAGAACTTCTATGTTAAGCTCTTTGACGCAACTTGCATTGTAAAAGCGCTATAGAAACAAACATGAAGTGAATTAAACTGAATAAATAAAGCAGGGAATGAGATAAAGGAATGTGAGCAAGTGAGTTCCACAGAAAAATGTAAGTCAGGTTTGAAACAAGTAAAGGATGAGTATAAACAATAACCTAATTTAAGGTTAAAACCACCTGTAACAGCCTGGAAAGTAGCACATCTTCATCTTCTTTAATCTTTAAAAATGTTTATTCATTTGTTTAATAAAGGAACAAGCTATTTTGTCTAACTATATGAGATTTACGCCTCTAAAAACGGTCTCTTTGAAAGCCTGGCTACACACGTCTCTGACTGCTTGAGCAGATCACCCACACCTCCAGCTCAGTAAATTCATCAGCACTCAGAATGGCCACTTTGTTGTGGCGCTAGCCTGTCATATATTAGGTGCAGCGGCCCGGCCTGAGAACCAGTGCGCCTGCTATTCGACCACAGCCACCAGGGCCTCATAAAGCCTGTTTATAGATCTTCAGGCCTGTGACAGGAGAGCCTGAGCCAGAGCGCAGGGGAGCTTGTTTACGGTGCGGTGGTCTCATTCCAGAGAAAGAGCGTTTTTCCCAATGCTGCGATGAGCTGAGTGTTTCTGCAGGAGGCTGGTGGAGGTGCCCGATGCAGCCTGGCGCCAACCCCATGCCACACGCCCTGACAGCTTTATGCGCCAGTCAAGAGGAACAAACTTCAGATCATCAGTGCTGGCTCTAGACAACACAGACCTGACCAAAATCAGTGCGTTTTTTTCTTCTCCTCTTGGAGCAAGCAGATTCTTAGAAATTCAGGCCTGTTTGGGTTTGCGTTCTGCTGTGATTAATGTGTTTGTAGATTCGTCACCCTCTGCGTGTAAATCAAGCAGCAGATAGTTCTTGCCATGGTACTATATTTGTTGACTGCTTCATGCTCATTACAGCTCTCAAATGTATAACTGTACATTTAATCATGTTAAGTATAAATTTTAGAACCAGATATGAGATAAAATTTGAATTCAGTAATTTATTGGCTTAAAAGGTGTGCTTAAATTAATCTTAAACTTATCGCAAATGATGTAGCCAGAAGTACGTATGGCTGCATTTTGTTTTTAAAACAAACGCTACCGCGTGGTATGACGCAGTTTCTTTTCTTACCTTCATGTGAACAGCTTTCCTGCTGCTACCAGTTTGTTCAGTATTTCGCCATGTATGCTGGTGGACTTGAGACACAGGGAAGAGTTGACCTCGACGAAGGAGTCTGGGTCTGGTGCAAAGTTATTATAGTTAACGAAAACAAATGAAAAAACGAAAACTAAAATGGTAAATAATTGTAGTTAGCTGAAATAAAAACAAAAACAAGTTATTTTTTTAAATCTAGGCCTAACTGAAACTGTATTGTGTACATACAAAACTAACTGAAACAAACTAAATTTATAGCAAAAACCTCCTTCGTTTTTGTATTTGTGAATGTATTTGATAAATAATCTTACTGGAAGCTATTTAGAAGTAAATATAGTTCGCGGGCAGGTGTTTGAACCTTTCGCACCTCAGAGTCTGTAGTCCTGCTGCAATTGGCCAGATCAAGCTGGTTCTCCTGCAATCATCCTCGCTGTTGCTCCTGCTACAAAAACAAAGAGTGGACATGACAGCCCCACGGTGATAGCATTAAATACAGACAATTTAAGCTATTGCTTTAACACATTTGTGCCCAATAATGACTTTTATTTCTCTATCATGATCGAACGAATCTTTTTAACCAGATCTTCTAAGTGAACCAGTTTAACTAGTTCATCAAATGGAACTAAATCATTTGAAAAGATTTGCGTCTCCAGTAAGCACTTATCCACAAACTAATTACTTTTGAACAAGCCTAATACCCCCCTCTGACTAAATAAATTATCCAATTTATACTCTCATTCACTTATTAGAACAGTAACGTTACATTGAGAAGCAGTGAACTGATAGTACTGTGTATGCATGATTTAATGAACCAAACACAAATAGTACAGCCTGCTGTGTGACTGAATTTAACTTGAACAACTGCAGTGCGGGTGGACTGAGGGCTTAAATTCTTCTGGTGAAGAACAGTTCCAAAAAGCAGATAAAACAAAAGTAAATAACAGGGTGAGAATGTGGTAAAATCTGAAAATGTGGTAAAAATCAAGTGAAGGATTTTCTTTTTCTGGATTGCTTTTGAAAACTGTCAGTTGGGTTTAGGGAAGTTGGTGGACGGGTCAGTTGGTGCTTTTGAGAACACTATTGGTTGGGTTTAGGGAAGAAGGAGGAAGGTTCGATCAGTCAGTCGACAATGGTCAGTTTACGTGAGAACAGCAGTCACAAACGACACTTGTGAGAGAAATTGGGAGATCTAAAAGAAATGTAAACAGTGGCCTCTGGTGGATTTATGCAAGAACAACAGGAACAAAGGCTCTCACAAGAGAAATTGGAGATCTGAAAAAACATATACAGTGGCCTCTGGTGGATTTTCATGAGAACAGCAGGCAGAAACGGCACTGGTAAAAGAAATAGGAGATCTGAAAAAGTGTATACAGCGGCCTCTGGTGGATTTACATGAGAACAGCAGACATAAATGACACTTGGATAGAAATTAGAGATTGTAAAAGCATACATAGCAGCTTCTGGTGGATTTATGCGAGAACAGCAGACATAAATAGCACTTGCGATAGAAATTGGAGATCTGTAAAAGCGTACACAGTGGCCTCTGGTGGATTCAACAAAAACTGCAAAAATACATTTCTTTAGGGGCGTATTTGGAGCTCTTCAGAAATGTATATAGCGGTACATTTTCATTATAATCCTGAATTGGATTTATTGGTTTGAAAATGCTGATATTTGTTTTATGTTATAAAGTTCTGACAGCATTTTTAAAATCGGCAAATCATCTAAAATGACAGAAAAACTTCAGTTCTTCTGCTAAATAAACTTGTTCAATTCTAACCACTGACATGTTGACTGTTTTTAAAATATTCATATTCATGACGTCATATAATTGAACAAACACAGAAAAAAAGACACACCTGAGTAAGAAATTATCTTGTGTTTTTATTTTTGTCTAATACAATTTGAACAAATACTATCTTTATTTATATGTAATCTATCATTCCACATAATAGTTGTACACAGATATCCCCCCTCATTCCTTTTTTTGAAACAGTTTGAAAGTATGCTTTAAAGGCTTAACCCCAAAAGCTGATCACATTTTGCCCACGTGTTCACTGGAATTCCTGAGTGAATTAAAATATGATTGGTCAGAGTAATTACTGTAATCTTTAGGCTGATGAAAAGCAGAACTATACAGGCCGTTGCTTATTCTTAAACCAGCAATCAGCGCCAAACATTTTATTAACCAATCACGTGGCAAGGACCCAAAACAATTCTTTCCTAGCTATAGTAAACAATAATTCACCCATTTCAATATTATTGTCAGTAATACCCTGAGCTTCTTGTGTAGACTTAACCCAGTTTCTGGGTCTAAAGCCAGCCGACTACAGTTCCAACTTCTGGCTCTTCTCAGTGGCTCTGAGCGAGAGAGAGAGAGAGAAAAAAACCTGCTATTTTTTACTTGAAAACACCAGTGGCTTGCTGTGGACTTGGCTAGAACACAGGCAGGCCAGCTTTCCATGAGACACCATACGCTGAAGTTATTCCTGTGTTCAACTAATCTGTTTGGGCGAATCCCAGATGCAGCAAACACATTAGTGATCCAATCAGGGCGCTTTATCATACGGAGACAGCTTGTTTATATTCCAAGCACAGATCTGAATATAATGCTGAATACAACTGTTATATTTGGACATTTCACTATAATACATCTGCTCGGGTTCCACAGTTTATTTTTAGGCTAATATTTTCAAGGCACAATAAGCACGTGTTTTTTTTTGTTTTGTTTTGTTTTTTTTGCATTTTTTTTTTTTATGTAATGTCTTCGTTTTCCTTCCAAGAAGCACACAGGGTTGTACTGTATGTGCTAGATCTGGACTTCACTCCTTTACAGCTTGTATTTAATCAAGTATTTCAATTATATAACAATTACATGCACGTTAATGAAACAAACAAACATATCTTACATATCTACAGTCAGATGCGTAATAATGTAACTAATACGACAGCAAGCATTCTTTGCACTATATTACATATAGTATATCGTTACTGAATATGGAGGCTATGTTTAGGCAGGTTTATATAAATATAGATATACAGAGATTTATATTTACATGTTTTTTTATATTCGAACATTGCATAAAATAAATAAAGTGATTGAATCTTGAGGATATGATTTGCCAAATAGAGATGCTGTATTAGAACTAAAATAAAAGCAATTCTACAAAATTAACAATCTGGAGTATCAAAAAAGCTGCACCACATTTACCCTGCGAAATGTACAGTTTGGGAGTGCTGGAATGACTGTGTGGAGGTGTAGGGGAGTATGGGTTGAATTGCGGAGTCTGTTAAGTCTGGGATTTGGGGTGTCATGGTCAGTTTAGATGATCCTGCTATTTCACCTTCGGATGTCACTTATCTTTGAGTCTTCCTGCTCGGCGACTACGGCATCTAAACTGGCGCGGCGCATGCCTTGGCTTCGAATTCTCATCTGGGTATTAAACCCAGCCTTGCCAGGCTTCTCTTTGTCTCCTTGTCGAGCGCTCTTGTGGTGCTCCCCATCCGAATGAGAGGTAAGCGCCGGACGTCGCTCATGGCCACCGGATGCTGGAGCGGCAGTCATAGATGTACAAAAGCTCAGGCTGTCGCACAAAGCGCCCCAGTTCTGCTCACACTGCAGACGCACACTCCGAGTAATGGCTTCCTTCACCTCTTGTCCACAGCCCAGTAAAATGTTCACCAGCTCAACGTAAGGCCTATGAAGGTGGGACGATAGAGATCAGTCATGGTAGAAAAATTGCTGCTCTACTTTAATATGCTTTCTCAAGTTTGAAACGACATTCCCTGTTGAGTACATTACAGGCTAGTGCTGCAGTGACAGGTTATGTCTCCATACAGCTACCGCATTGACCTTTCGTGAGATTGTATAAAGACGATTAACAGCTGCTCTACAGACTCAGTCCTGTGTCTGAATAAATAAATTAACTTTGCAGAACTTTGCGCTGCTCCACATGCATTTTTAAATGGAAAAGTACATTAATTGTCTGGAAATATGAAGCTAACCAAAAATATATGCGTATTCAGTTGACGACTTCAAATTTTTTAGATGTGTAACGATTATTTATTGGTGCTTTTCAATGTAAAAACTGTTACTTGAGATAATAACTGTGTAGTTTACATTGATTTTTATTTTATTTTGAAGAAATTTGTGGTTCCCTTTTATTGTATGATCAAATATATAATGGAATGAGAACCAAAGTGGTTAACTTTACTTTGCATTTTATTGAAGAAGCTCTGAAGATTTTAGGGGTTGATCTGTTCCTTTTAAGCATGCAAAAGAAATTACGTCAAATGTGTGATGATGTGTCTTTACATCTTTATCAGCCTGCCTCTCATGCTGGAAATGTTGGTTTTAATTCTGCTCGTAGTGGGCCCTGTAGAAATGGTGTCTCTTTTCCACCAAGGCAGATTGAGTGCTGGTTCAAAACCAGAGCCTAGTTTCATTTTTAAAAAAATCTATCGACCCAAAGCAACGGCTCTGAAGTGTTTTTGAAGTTGCATCAAAACTTTGCTGATCTATAAATAAGAACTGCTTACATTACGGGCTGAGGGTGGGGTTACCATAACCAACGAGAACAACGGAAACTCAATTAAGCACCATTTTTGATAAATTTTTGGTAATCTCTGTCTATACAGATTGCAGCCAGTTGCTTGAACATTATTATCCTTTGTAGTTCACCTCTGTTAATGCAAATTACAGCACTGTGCATAAACACTTTATTTTTGCTCGCCATCTTTGTCTATTACCATGCTACCATGTGCTGTATGAGCACAGTTTTTGTACGGTATGATGCAAGTTTCCAAAGCCAATGATATTAATGGAAACGCAATGTTATTCATGAGTTTGTATTTGGCACTTCTGTGTTTTTGTTACTGGGAAACAATCACTTTCTTTAGATTATTCCCTGCTTTATCAGAGGTTGCCACAGCATGATGAAATGCCAATTACTCTGGCATTTGTTTAACACAGTAGATGCCCAACCCATTGTTTTCCAGCACTGATAGGACAACCCCCAACAGGGAGAGCCCTGGTCTCTGAGGTGCACTAGATGGTGCACAGACTTTAGTGTGCTTATAAACATTTGAGTCCTGCTGAGAGCATGGTTAGTGGAAGAGGGGTGCCATGACCTGGCTTAGAGTAAGGTTTAAGAAGGTGAGTGTAATGGAGGCCAGTTAGTATTTGCAGTGAGTAAAACTTCACTCTTTTGACCTAAGGAGGCACACTGGACAATTAAGTCCTTAGCATTCTTGCCAATGTGCAAACATCCCATGCTGCTAATGCCAGTTTGAATCCTGCTTCTAGAGTGCACGTAAAACTAGCTTGGTGCCGTGACCCATATGGGAGTGGGTTTAATTGAGGTCAGCTAGTAAAAGCTGTGCAAGCAAACCTCACTCCCCTGGTCTCAGGAGTCTTGAGTCTGCAGTTTTTAGCTTCCTTATAAGCATGAACACCTCCTATGCTGAAAACACTGGTTCAGATTACTCAGAGTGGGGCAAATGGAATTAAGGAGTAACAACAGCATTAAGCTCACAATTTAAGTCACAGTGACAGTATTCATTGCAATTGTTTGCATTACAATTAATTACACGATCTTGACAATTCTACTTGCAAAACCTCGACCCGAATTACATAGACAGGGAGCCATGTAGATGTGTAGAAAAGAGAAGGGAAATACAGAAAGATGATATGCCAAGAGCGATACCTACCCTTTGGGAAATAAGTCTTGGAAATGTATCATCTCCACCATGACATTGACGTTGTCTTTAGCAGCCGAGCAGAGGTTGTGTTTCATGTAGCATTCCCGCTGAAGCTGGAAGACCATATCCTTTATGGCCAGGCATTTTCGGCTGATGCAACTAAATTTGTGCCTCAAGCCATGAGCCATGCACTTCAGTGCATCCTTGATGAACGACTTGCCCTGTGAGTATTCAAGACAAAGTCTTATCAGATTTACAGCCTTTTTTTCTCTGGTGAGAAAATATGGAGTAATATTATAACTGTTAATAAGGGCATGTCTCTGTAGAGGCACACATCTTCAGACTGCATTACAAGCCTGAAACCCACAGCCTCAAATCCACCTGCACCTTGTGAAACATGAGCCCTGCTGGAGGCAGTGCCAGCTGGCTGAGCCAGCAGCAGGGTCATCCTCTGGATGGGACATGAACCCCATATGAGACTGGGGCAGCCATGAATTTACCTGCGAGTCGAACTTGCCAGCATTGTGCAAGAAGGTCATGCAGATTTCCTGGAGGCCCCGAATTTCACACGAGTTGTTTTCGAAACACTCAAACACCCCGCAGCCCACATCTCCTGCACTCACAAGACAGTGCTGGATCTCAGCTGAAAAACATAGAAAGAGAATTTAGAAATACATCAGGATTTATAAGGAATCCAACACTTCATTTTTGACATCTTTTTCCAAAGCAATCTCTCTGAAGCTTCTATATTTGTAAAAGTAATATATCGGTTTTCGAAATATACTTGACACAACCATTGACATCATATGCACATAAGCCTATTTTCAGGCTTTATTTGTCTTGTGAAAATTGAAGAACTATATTTAGGGGACAAATTTAGCAGAGAGAGCGCTGTGGTAATTAAGGTATGCTATTAAAATCCATCAAACTGGGAGGCATCCTGCAGTAACTGCCTAAGATGTGGGAAAGCAAGGTTAACTGTATATAGGGCAGGACGAGATTGCTTTTACTTTGCTGTAAAGCTCAGAAATGACTACTGAGTTTAAGGAAAAAAATAGCCAGAATGGAATACAATTTAGTACGTCACCTTCTAATTCTACTTTATCTGCATCTCACACAATAACAGATGTTTTTTACTTCTTATCAGATATTGTTAAAGAAGAAAAATCATATTTGCTCAATGGTAGCAGAAACCATTGAGCAGAGCCGGATTGTCTGTCCGTATAAAGCAATTATAAAAAGCCTGCCTTTTTGTCCCGCACTGAACTATGTAACAAAATGTAAATACAAACATTAGCTATGCTAACTACCTGTTTACAAACATTTATTTTAAAGTAATTTTCAAATGAACAAATGATTGGCTGTAATAAGAAAAAAATTATTATTAAAGGCAGAGATTTAATAAAACATACTGTAAATTTTAAACTCCATTGTGTCAGTAAAGAGCCAGTGCTCCAGGCAACAACAGTTGATCAAAATCTAAAAGCTCAGCAGCTATCGCATTACATATTAAACCATTTTAGGCTAAAGTTATACTATTTCTAGGGTTCTTGCGACGGCTACTTAAGCCTTCATGATTCTAAAGAGAATTTCTAAAGAGAAATTATTTTGGTAAAATAATCAAATATGAACATAAAATTTTATGTTTAACATCACATTGTTTGAGACAATCTGATTTTTAAACAATTAACAGTTTCTGAGACAGAGCACAGACATTTTAATCTCCTCTTCTTGAAGACCGACATATTCTCTTGTTAAAGGGAAAATTCCGTCACTGTTTACTCTACCGTCAGTTGATCCAAACTTTTATGAATTTCTTTCTCCTCTTTAACACAAAAATATATGTTTTTAAGAAAGCGTTAAACCTGTAACCATTGACTTCCAAAGTGTCTGTTCTTCCTGTGGATATCAATAGCTTTCTCCGGCTGTTCTTCTTTCAACTATTGTTCTTTCAGCTTTCTTCAAAATACTTATTTTGTGTTGAACAGAAGAAAGAACGCCATAAAAGTTTATAACCATTGAGGGTGAGTACATGGTGAATACTTTTTATTTTTGAGGAGAACATTCTTTTTAATGCATTTGACAGAATTTAAAAAATATACATTTTAGGTCATTTCAAGTTTACAAATACTAATATAATTTGTTTTTCTAGTTTACAATGGATCACGTGTAGAAATCTACAGCACTGATTTATAACTGAGTTATTTAGCTATAGTAACCTATATGCTGCCAGCCTGGGCCAGTACAAGCAAAAGTTGCCAAACACGAAACATCATCTACTGACGCCTGATATGACTGTCATTTTAATTGTCAATATATACAGGATTGAATAGCCTTTGTGCCGTGAGAAAGGTTAAGTTCGATCCACCTCCAGTGCAACACGTAGAGCCATTGCATCACTCAGATCCACATTACAGGTTCAACTTGCTTGTCCGCACAATGCAACAAAAGTTGCGAACGTCTTTATTTGATGCTCTCTATTGTAAAAGCTTTGCATGGCAGTTATAAGCACTTATTATTAAATACCATGCGAGGAAGTCCTTCGTAAACGCAATTCCACTCGAAAATAAGACACACAGGCGAACCTGACAGTAATGTCACCGTATATCTTTCCCTACCTTGTGCCGTGCTATTAATAGTTTACGAAGATATTGGATTTCTCTACGTGTGCTCCGTATTTACGAGATATCGCCTTCCTGCGCAATCGCTGCGCTTGATAAGATGTGCATTGGCCGGTTTTGCGCTAAATCGCGTTGTGGCCGCGCAGCTCGCATGCACGTGCCGCACATACAACACTCATTTCGGGCTTGACGAGACGCCTCGAGTGCGATCACAGTTCCACCACAGACACACACATACACACTCATTCCCTTACCTGTGTTCTGTAACGAGAGACGTCCCTTCTGACTGGCCGGTTTCTCGGGGTGACTCTCGTGCACATCAGGATTATCCGTTCCTACCACTTCCCCCAATACGGAGAGCAGCAGCAGGGACAGTGTGAATTTAATCAGCATTTCGACTCTCAATTTCTCGAGCTATAATGACACAGGCTGTCAGCCTGAGATCTGATGCGGAGACTGATCGAGATGACACAGAGAGCGTGTGAAGAGTGGAAACGGGATGGATGCTGCCTATATTTCCCAGAGTCCGGGTGTCAATTTGGATGAAGGAGTTAAGCAGGTGTTGTCAGTCGTGCGTCCCGACCAATCAGAGACGCAGACCACCACGTCCAAGTTTTAGGGGTGTGTCTGGCGAAAGTTGTCTCTACTTGCCATAAGCTAAGCTTGTAAAATGGGTAAGGGTGGGTGGGTATTTACTCTACAAGTGCTTATGAGGCATCAGACTGTTGTGTGGACAAGGGCATGCGAGTCTTCGGAATATGTTTACTGGTATTTGTATTAACACTGTATTTATTTATTTACACAAGTGGGTTCTAAAAATCTAATCACAGAGAACTGCATGAGAAAAGACAGGCTATTTCCATGCATGAAATAAAATTTTAAAATGAGCAAAATTATTGAAGTTTTTGTAGGTATATGTTGCATATACAACAAAAATCTATAATTATATGTTTGATGATATAGAGTTATAATTATTATTATAATAATAAGCAAATTAATTATTTGGATACTTCAAAGCAAAAAGTAGGCTATACTTACAACAACAGAATAAGTATGTGTGATATATTAAAACAACATGATTTGCATAAAATACCCAGAGTACATTAAAATAAATATAAACATATGGAAAGAGTAAATGTATAAACAAAATGCTCCTAACAATTATTGAGGATTGCTGCTAAATTAAACTTGACATTGACAAGGAATGGCACATTCTGCTCTATATACATTTTGTGTACACTATATATATATATATATATATATATATATATATATATATATATATATATATATATATATATATATATATATATATATATATATGTGTGTGTGTGTGTGAACAATATTTTAATTTTGGGAAAATTTTATATTCATAAATGCAAGTGCCTTAAAACCAAACCACTGTTTTTAGTTTTCCAAAAGGAATTTTGGCTATACTGTAAATCTTTACAGCTCATAAAATCAAATTGTGGAAGAAGACTCTTTAGTCTATTGAAAAATTTAAAATTAATAGAAGACCCGATGTAAATGTTTTTTTTTTTCTTTTCTTTTTTTGTGTGTCTTTTCTCTGGTTTAAGTAACTTTTTTCATTTTAATTTACTATGTTATTGACTTTATTATTTGTGCTCTGTTCTATAAATGTAGATAATAGTTGTTATTCAAATTTTGCCTTATTGTAATTGTGTTATGATGCAATAAAAAAAAAAATATATATATATATAACTGAGACATTGTTATAAAAAAACATCCCATAATGTAAATTAGTTGTCATTTTATAATTTGATAAGTTGTTTACATTAAAAGATTTTTTATTTGAAAAAGCGAATGTTATACACATACTGTTTGCTATGAAACGCAAAATATTTGAAGCTAAATATCTTAAAATCATTCAGAACGCAGATAGAACCTTATAATTCTAAGGTGACTATATATATATATATATATATATATATATATATATATATATATATATATATATATATATATATATATATATATAATGTATGTGTGTGTAATTTTAACATAATGATAATGTGAGTTTTTACATTGCAATTTTTGAAACCCCACCAGTCGACAGAGCTAATTATATAGTCCCGCTGTCACAATGTGCCAACTCCACACAGTGAAGAAAACGGGACAAATTTGCTAATGGGTGGCAGCGATTGCATCATTCAAACCACCCCCTCTAGGCAGCTGCCATATCAGACAAAGCAATGCAAAAGCCATATAGATGAGTGCACATCTGACTCGGACAAGCATATACTCAATTTACAGACAAACAGCTAAACCAGAGATTAGTTGTTATCATGTCTCGTTTCAGTTTGGTTGCTGTGATTTATTTATTTTTACTTCTATGAAGTCTATGTGGCAAATCACTCCCATAATAATGATAAGATTCTGCAAGTATCGTCCATTTTTCCTAATTATGAAATTTAGAGAATTACAAGGACACATTTTGATTTATTCTTTGGTGACTATGGTTTAGGACAGTGCTCTAATGATCTGTTCTAAGTTATGCTAATTTATTGCAAATGAGAAATATGCCTTAAATGAGATGCAGGCCATCCTCTGTGGGACTACTCTGAAGCTGTCGGTGTGGCAAGCCATATTAACATCCACTAATTTTATGCTTTTACCATACAGATTTTAATATTACATAATCCATTATGATATATTTCATTTTCACTGCAAAGCAGGGACTTTTTTTTTAACCATTGGAGTGGAGAAATGCTGGTGGCTGGAGGGTCTAGCAAGTGTCAAGTCCCACAGAAAAGCCCCTGATGGATACTTTTGTAACTGTGTTTACCTTTTGAGTAAAGTTGTTAAACATTTGGCAGTTCCTGCCCCTTTCTTCCTTAAATGAGTATGAGTTTCAGCTATTTCTACAATACAACTGCAAGTATTTCCAGCATAAACCCAAAACACTGGCAAAGAAAATCAACACAGTAGAACACAGAAAGCCTCATAGTGTTTTGGAGGTGTTATTGCTAGAGCAGCACAGACAAAATGCAGAAGTATAAATGCTCACAACAGCATGGGCTACATCTAAAGTCTGATTTATACTTCTGTGTCAAGTGCACGCATACGGTCCAGCGGCGCCTGTGTGTGGTTGCATAGCCCTCGCCATGGCTGACTGGCACCTCTAAAAAACAATAATACACGTTGCAATGACGCATTCTGCGAGTTCTGTGATTGGTCAGCATGGGTAGCTAAGACGAAGTATAAATGCACGGCTATGCGCCAGTGGTCACGCTGATCACTCGATTCAGAAGTATAAATCAGCCTTAAGTTATGTGCCATGGGCTAAGACAGGGCTATTCAATTGGCGGCCCGCAGGCCGAACCCGACCCCTGAGGCAGTTTGTTCAGGCCCTTTAAATAGTGTGACCAAGACATCAAAAATAAATTTAGTTAGTCGAAAAACGGCCGCTATAGTTATGAAGTGACGTGCGTCTGTTCAATACAGCGCAAGCTGCAGAGGCTGGGCAGAGTGTGAGTTTCCATAAGCGAGTGCACGGGCAGCCGAAAACATTTGAATATGTTTTGTAGAAAATGCCTGTTGTACAATGCTCTGTAATCGTTAATATGGATGCAACAATTAGCTGATTTCACTATTAACTGCGCTTTAATTCTTCACAGTTAATGAATCGTAAAGGCTTCTCTAAGCCGCTTTTCTGTTGCACGGAAAAGTTATGACAAGTTGCCACCTGTGCGCTAGTTTAAATTTCCAATTATGTACACTGAGGCTTATACGCACGCAGACTGGATTAACTATAACAGAGGCCGTTCCCATATCTGGTCTTTTCCGCTTGTAAATTTGTTATTTCTAATGTAAGAATATATGGCAATATGCGCGCACAAGCGTAACAACACGCCTGGTCTTTCTGGGCGCATGCAGTAGAAAACATCTCACGGTGAGAGTTGAGCGTGCCTTTCAGTGCAATGTAAACAAAAGATATGTTTGACGAATTATTATTAAAATGATTATGTATGTTTGAACGCATATAACAGTTAATCTAAATAGCTACTTCCCGAATATAAACCTTAAATTTACATTAGACGTTATAACCCTGAAACCAGGATTATTCTTTAGACTATATAATCGTACAACCAAAATCTAAAATGTTGCATCACTAATTGTTATGCAGTTCATAACATAACATATGCATGTGTCTGAATGTAGAAAAAGCCTACTTCAGCAATGCACTGCTTTTGTTGTGCTCTGAAATACATTTAAAAAAAAAGTAAATTGGACAATGCAGTGATGTTATGTTGTTTTAAAATACAATATATTAACATTTTAATGTGGAAAAAGCCAATGTGGGTGTCTTTATGAGCACAAATACAGCATATGGGCTCTTATATGCAGTCATGTCATCATTCATATAGCAAGTCATATCTCTCCGGCCCTAAGTTTGGGATGCTTTTCATGAACCGGCCCATATGACAAACGATTTGAATAGCCCTGGGCTAAGACGATCACTCGACAAGTTATTCATGGATACTCATGGGAGACTATAAGGTATTTTCTGAGATTTTTTTAATAGTGATTTCTTAATCTGTGAAATAGGTAATGTATCCAGCTTAACTAGTAACTTTTATGGCAAGATTGATTTCAGTTAAATAAAACTGAGCAACATTTGGACTGACAAGAAGCTAATGTGCCATCCTAAAAGTTTTTTTTTTAATTTTCTATTTTTACATTGAAATTTTGTTTTTGTTCACAATATTATATTGTCATTGTTTATACATTTCACATTTTAGCCAACAGTGGTCAGGGTTGATGAAATTCTTCTACCACTTCTGCTGTTAACTATTTTGATAGCCCATTTTAATTATACTTATCTATATAGGCCTACAAAAATGATTGTATTTATTTTATTTTATTTTAATTGCTTGTTTATTTTACAGGGACAATACACTTGACATTGTTATACAAGATATTGACCTTATTATTATAATTACTAATAACACATATCTATTATTTAATGAATAAGTACTAATTAAACAATGGCTAATTTTGTATTACCTCCTAATATTAAAATAAGCACCAGGAAGGCATTCGTTAGTGTTAAGCAATGAATGTTATAACGGCATGCCGTATTGAGAATTGAAACGGTTCCTTGTGCGGCCACCCGTTGGCGAAAATAGATGAACACAGCGTTGAAGCTGCAGACAAATATTCGGTCAACACACTCTCGTGCTGAGAGGAGAATAAAACATGGTTTGACAGTCAGTGCTTTATAGACTATCTAGCACTTCGTAAGCTGTTGGCAGGAATATTCACATTATAAATTAAAACCTGATATTTCAGTTCTCTATGCTTTGCTTTCCAGGAAACGAACTGTAGTATGCAATGGCTTGGAGAGGTGCGCTAAGTGTTCATATGCTCCG